TCAACTGTGAAAAACACTCCTTCCAGGATACCTGGATAAAAGAAGGCTTATTAGAACTATATCTCATAGATCAGTGGTGTCAAACTCAAATAGGAATGGATCCCCACTGCCATGTATTGAATTGGAAATCAACAAAACGTTATCTATGCTGCTCTGTATTCTAATTTAGTTTGCTAAACATTTCCTGACTACATTTTAAGCCAGTTCAAGCCTCACTCAGAAATTTGGGTGCCACTTGCTGCCTTTTAAGTACACCTCTGGTGTAGATGATGAGTTCACAGAATGATAGATTTTAGAGCAAGAGGGAACTTCAATGATTGCCAGTCTAATTGGACCCAAGAGGTGATTTGATTTACTCAAAGCCACACAAGTAACTAACAATATCATGATCTGAATCTTGGTTTTCCAGCTTCTAATTCCTGGCTCTTTCTGCTATGCCAAGATTTACGGCAGAGGTTCTTAACCTAGGATCCCTATAAATTAAATTTTTAAAAAATTTTGATAACTGTATTTCAATATAATTGGCTTCCTTTGTACTCCTATGCATTTTATTTTATGCATTTTTTTTCCTGAGGAAGGATCCACAGGCTTTACCAGATTGCCAAAAGGGTCCATGAAAAGAAAATTAAGAACCTCTGAACTACCACTGTGTAATCTAGCTGCTCTACTAAAAATATGGCATGAAGAGTTCAATAATTATCAAGAAAATTCCATGGAATTCAATTAAAGAAAAAAAATCAATCATGATCATTAAAGGCAAATAACCATTTTTCTCCTTAAAAGCAGGAGATTTTTACTCCTTTTTCTTCTTTTGCCTGGATCATATAAATGATTTTTCATATCTTCCTTTAACTTTGCTTTCACAACCATTAGTTTGCATCTTTTCTTTTCTTTCCAGGACCAATCAGTTCAAAAAACAATTCCTCCAAATGGAATATAGCCCATTTCGTACCCTGTGCTTCCATCGTGTGGTCATACTGCATTATTACACCTTGTTTTCATATTGTTGGCTTTTCCCCCTTTCTCTCACATGAATAAAGCAAGATTCCTCACTGCCATTGTCTCTATCTGCTTCTAAATGTTCTATGTGAGGTGGGGGTGCATGGGGGAAAGAAGAGAAGAAAAGGGAAGCAAACTCAGGTCCAGTGTGAGGAAGCATGGCAAACAATCCTTAACCCTGACTTCCAAATTGAAATATTTCTTAAGGACATAAAGAACAGGGAGTAAATGGCACAGTCCACAGGATGCTGGACTTACAATCAGGAAGAACTGCATTCAAATCCTGTCTCATACCCTTAGTATAGCGATGTAACCCTGGGCAAGTCACTTAATATCAATCTTAGTTTCCTTATCTGCAAAATGGGGGAATTTACAGCACTTGCCTTGTTAAGGTTGTTGTGAGGATCAGACGAGATAATATTTGTAAGTGCTACCCAAACCTTTAAAGCACTATATAAATGCTAGCTATTATTATTATATCCCCCAGTCCCCAAATGGGGGTATACAAGTTGGCATTAGCCTGATTATTTTGCTGCTGGTGAAGTACCAAGTGAAAATTAAAACATTCAGCCAAGCATCCAAAGGTTTGAGCTATATGATGATTATAGCATACTATAATATGCTATAAAATATATATGATATATATATATATATAATATAATATATATATGTATACTATAATAATAATCATAATGCTAGAATGGTCTATAGTTGTAGTGCCCCCATTGGTATTGCCAAGAAGATGGGCACATAGTAGTGAGGATAGAAATCCCCTTCTTGACTCCCAGGGAATTATTGCTGATTCTATACTGATATGGAAAAATAAGGAATGTGGAAATCTAGGGGTAGGGTGTAGTAGCTGCTGCCAGGATGGGAAGGTTTAACTGAAACTGAGAGGAGTGCTCTGAGGAACCATAGAGGGAGAGTGTCAGTCAAGAGACCTTTAATGCTGGACTACAGGACAGTTTGAGATCAAATTATGCACAAGAAACATAAAGCATTTGCTGAACTGTTGAGATTACTAAGACTAGAGCTGGTGAAGCTTCATTTTCCTCTTCCCTTTTCTATCTCTGTTCCCTCACTTGTTCCACAAATCCCCATTTCTAAGAATTTTTCCTTTTTTTTTTTTCAGACAAGATCGGTTTCAGTACCTCTTGCTGATTTGTGTCTGTTCTTGTACAAATATTTAATCAATAAGACAAAAGGGGAAGATTAGGGACCTATTTAGTGCTCAGAAGGAGACAGAAATATATTACAACTGTTTCACCAGATAAATTCTGTGGCTACGAGGCTCAAGCTATAGAGAAAGAATTATTTAGTCTTTTTAAATTACTTCTCAGAGAAGAAAGAATTTAGAGACCAAGATCTTTCTAGGTAATGAACCACATCATTGGGTGATAGTGATAAAAACATTTTATACATGTTATCTCATTAGATCTCTACAACAACCACATGAGGTTCATAATACAATTATTATTATCCCCATTTAACAGATGAGGAAACTGTTTTTGACAGGTTAAGTTGCTTACCAAAGTTTAGCAGGTGGCAAAGCCAAATCACCAACTCAAGTCAAGTCATCTTACTCAAAGTCAGCAATATAACATAAGCAAACAAATATTTAGACATTTCTGGAGGCTATAACTGATTTTTAAGGAAAAAATTAATCTGAGTGTTTTGCACACTATAGTCATTAGGTAGTCTTTTATTCCCCTCTTGAAGAAATATTACTTATGTTGTTTATTTGTTTCAATTGTGTCTGACTCTTTGTGACCCCATTGGGGGTTTTCTTGGCAAGTGGTTTGCCATTTCTTTCTCCAGTTCATTTTACAGATGAGGAAACTGAGGCAAACAGGGTTAAGTAACTTTCCCAGTGTCACCCAGCTAGTAAATGTCTGAGGTCAGATTTGAACTCATGTAGATGAGTCTTCCTAATCCCAAGCCCAGTGCTCTATCTACCATACCACCTAACTGCCTGATATTAATTGTACATTTCTTGATAGATATTGTGAGCTCTTTCCCCTCCTTTCAATGTTGATGTTATGCTCCTTGAACAAAAGAATAAAGTGTGATTGACATCAACAAAGGAAGAAAATAGAGACTGTCGTTATTATCAATTTCACCAAGACATAACAGAACTAATTCTGTTTCCAGATAGTTATTCATTTTCATTCATGCTTTGTTTTAAGAATTCCCTAAAAGCTGAGCTAGAATGAAGCAGACATCTTGATGGCATCATTGACAGATGTCTTACTCTAATTGTCCTAAGACCTACTAATAGGTGTTCCATTATGCTGCAGACTACGACTTCATCTTCAGTTTCATACAGTTATCCACTCAAAAATTCATTACCATTAAAGATGCAAAACAATTTCCTCCCCTTAATGGGGACAAAACTGATATGGCAATCTGGTCTCTAATATACTAGCACCCTCTTTGAGAGGAAAATAGAGTCATCACTCACAAAACTGGAAGGAACAAATCCCTCTTCAGTGGATTACCCAAATCTGATTCTCCCTTAAGATGTGAAACAGAGAATCTTAACTTTTTTTCAATGTTGTGGACTCATTTGGAGTCTGGAAAAGGCTATGGATATATTTTCAGAAGTGTTTTTAAAAGTATAAAATACAATTTGTAGGAATACAAAGAAAAGCCATTACAATGAAATTTCATTATCCAAAATATTTTTTAAAAGAACAAGTTCATGCATTTTAGATTAAAAACCTCTGGTGTAGAGGACATCACTTTTTTTGCTACATCCATAGCAAAGCCAGTATTTCAAGTATTTCTGTATAGTGGGATTTGAAAGATACTGAGAAAAGGTAGCTTCCCTTCTCCTTCAAATCAGCTTTCCTGTAAGTTGGTGAGTTGTTGTCAGTCATGTCTGACTCTTTGTGACCCCGGGAAACTGAGGCAAATAGGGTTAAATGACTTGCCCAGGGTCATACAGCTAGTCAGTATCTGAGGCTGAGAAGATGAGTCTTTATGACTCCAGGCCCAGAACTCTATCCATTGTACCATCTACCTGCCCTCCCCTACCAGCCAACTAGCCCGAAGTTCCACCATTAGAGATTCATTCATTTGAACTAAGGTATTGCCTCCAGGAATCTGTTATTAAATTGTCAGAGGAATGTGTGACACTCGACACATTCAGTCTTTAACAGACACCAAGACTTCACTGTAAATAAGTTTATGAGTTATCTAATAAGTCCCTAAAGAAATGGGACAAAGGACAAGTACATTTTGATGGGAGATAGAAATCCATCTTGAACTTTGTGTACTGCCCTGGAGGATAAGAATAGATGAAATGTCAATGAATGGGGATAAAATGGGCAGGATTCGGGGCATCTAGAGAGAACAATGGTATTGAACAGCCAGAAAAGAGATGCCAGGAAAGGAGTAAGAAAGGCCTTGAAAACAGGCTTTGCCAAGTTTTGGTCCTCTGGGAAAGAACTGACAGACAATAGGACTAGACCCTCTTCTAATAAGAGATTCTGAAAGCCAGCAAAACCCTTGAAAGTTGGCCAGTCCAGGACTTCTTAACCATTTCCGTGTTGTGGATCCTTGGAGCTATATGATGAAGCCTATAGACCCTTTCTCTAAATAATGTTTTAAAATAATTGAAGGATATCCTAAATTCCAGTTAGAGCTTAATGAAAATAGAGATGGATATTTTTTCCCTTCCAAATTCATGGATCCCATGAAATATTTTCAGGAGAGCTGAAGAGCTCTTTTAGGGTGAAAAGACATAAGTTGACTTCTGATGTTCCCAGGGAACCCCTCAGAGGGAATATGAAGTAAAAAATTTTGTGAGTTCTGAAGGTGGAGCCAGGTGGTGGAGAGCTGAGCTCTCCAAACATTCCCCTCCAAACAATTTTAAAATCAAATTGAATTCTGGAACGGCAGAATCTAAAGGTCAAAGTGAGACATTCTTTCAGCCCAAAATAACATAGGAGGTCAGAAAGAAGGATCTGTGACACAGAGGAGAAGGCTGAAGGAGCCACATGGATGAAGCACCAGTGGTAGGATTAGGCAGTGATAGTGGAAGCATGAGCAGCTTCAGGAATTCTCAAGCCAAAGATGGTAATGGGACCTTGAAACTTGTCAGAAAATATGCTAATTTTGGACACAGAACCAGATGCTGTTTGGCAACTCCATTGCCTATACCCACTTCTAGGTCATAGTTCAAGGGCAGAAAGGAGCACTTTCAGGCAAGGAGTGAAAGCCTTGAGGAACAGTATCACTTCTGGCCACAAAAGATCGGGAGCCCTGAGGAACAGTATTATTTCTGGTTCCAAGGGAGAAGGATCCCTGAGGAGCAGTATCAGTTGCAATCCCAAGTATTCAGGAGCCCTTCCTGGGTAAAGACCAGAGTACAGACCAGGAGAGAAATGACCACACCTCTCCCCAGACTGTTCTTCTTGAAAGCATTGAATGTTTCCAAACCTCCACAGCTAGCTCTGAAAACAGCAATGCAAAAGAAGTCTAACTCTTCAGACAGTGCCACTTCCCCACCCCACTGGGAACAAAACAAAATAAAACCAAAAAAAAAAAACCTAACACTGGCCATAAAAAGCTACAATGGTGACAGGGAAAATCAAGACACAAACTCAGAAGAGACAATGAAGTCAAATGAGCTACAAATAAAGCCTGAAAAAATGTGAAAGAGCTGAAAAAACTTATTTTTATTTATTTTAGGCTAGGCAATGGGGTTAAGTGACTTGTCCAGGGTCACACAGCTAGTAAGTGTTATGTGTATGAGGTTGGATTTGAACTCAGGTCCTCCTAAATCCAGGGCCAGTGTTCTATCCACTGCACCACCCAGCTGCCCCTAAAAAAACTTATTTTAAAAATCAAATAGGTTATACTTCTGGGAGCCAAGATAGCAGAGTAAGAAGTAAATCACTCTTACCCTGTCTTATTGACCTCTGAAAGCCCAGAAAATATCACCTCAGGAAAAACCCTGGGACAGCAGAACCAGCAGAAAGATGGGGTGCAGAAGTCTTGTATCCCAGGAAGCTTGGAGGATTAACAGGAAAGGCCCCTCTCACTCTGGGGGAGGGGGAGCAATACAGAATGGGAGGTGTCCCAGCAAACTAGTGAAAGCCCCACCTCAGTACACCAGGGAGAGATCCTGAACCCCAGAGCAGAGGAGCAGGCAAGCATCAACACCAGGACCCCGACGTACCTCAGTACAGGCAGAGGAACTGGTGGAAACTGGCTCAGAAAACCACCACGTGCCTCTGCATTCTCTGGTAGCCAAGTCTCCCAGTGCCTCAGCAAAACTCTGGGAAGTAAAACTCCGGGAAGCAAAACTCCAAGAGGAAAATCTCCAGGAGGAGAAACAACCTGCGGCAGCAAAACATCCCTCTGCAAGGCCCTACTGAGCAGGAGCAAAAGAAAGGAGCAAAAGACCAGGGTGAGCAGGCATCCTGCAGACTACCCACCCCAACCCCTAGAGCTGATTCCAGCCCAACACAAGGTAAGCTGCCAGAACCCTACAGTCTCCAACTGCCAGCATCAGAGGCCATTGCACACAAAGCTAGTGAACAGTTCTAGGCTCTCAGCACAAGAAGCTTGGGTCAGTGCTCCCTGCTCCCCAGAAGGAGAGCTCAATTTTTTTTTAAAGGCTAGGAAAAAAAGCAAACACAATAAGCAAAAAGAAACATACCATAGATTCTTATTATGGGGACAGTGAAGATCAACAAACCCACATCTGAAATTTCAAAAGGCAACATGAACTGGTCTGAAGCCTGAAAAGCCTTCTTGGAAGAGCTCAAGAAGGATTTAAAAAGTCAAATAAGAGAGGTAGAAGAAAAATTGGGAAAAGAAATGAGAGGTATGTAAGAGAGAGTCAATAGCTTGGAAAAGGAAGGACAAAAATTAACTGTAGAAAACAAGTCCTTAAAAAACACAACTGCCTAAATGGAAAAAAAGTACACTGAATAAAACAAGTCCCTAAAAAAATACAATTGGCCAATTGGAAAAAAGTACACTGGAGAAAATAACTCCTTAAAAAGTAGAATTGGCCAAATGGAAAAGGAGGCACAAAAACTTACTGAGGATAAGAACTCCTTAAAAAAGTAAAATGGGCCAAATGAAGGAGGTACAAAATCTAATAGAAGAAAACAATTTGTTAAAAAAAAAAGTAGAATTGGGGGGCAGCTAGGTGGCACAGTGGGTACAGCACCGACCCTGGATTCAGGAGGACCTGAGTTCAAATCCAGCCTCAGACACATAACACTTACTAGCTGTGTGACCATAGGCAAGTCACTTAACCCTATTGCCTAACCACAATAAATAAATTAATTAATTAATTGATAAATGAATGAATGAATGAATGAATGAATATATAAATGAAGGAATAAATAAGCAAACAAATAAATGAATGAATGAACAAATAAATAAATAGACATCCTATTTCCTTCTTAAAAAAATAAATAAATAAATAAAAAAGTAGAATTGGGCAAGTTGAAACTAATGACCCTGCGAGAGAGTGAGAATCAGTCAAACAGAAACAAAAGAAGGAAAAAATAGATGAAAAGGTAAAATACCTCATTGGTAAAACAACTGGCCTGAAAAATAGATCCAGGAGAGACAATTTAAAAATTATTGATCTACGGGACAGCTAGGTGGTGCAGTGAATAGAGCTCCAGCCTTGGAGTCAGGAGGATCTGAGTTCAAATGCGGCCTCAGACACTGTGACACTGGGTAAGTCACTTAACCCTGATTGCCTCACCCAAAAAAAAAAAATTGGTCTACCTGAAAACCATGAAAAAAAAGAGCCTGGACAGCATCTTTCAGGAAATCATCAAGGAAAACTGCCCTGAGTTCCTAGAACCAGAGGGTAAAATAGCCATAGAAAGAATTACCTCCTGAAAGAGATCCCAAATTGAAAATGCCAAGGAATATAGTAGCCAAATTCCAAAATTACCAGGTCAAAGAGAAAATACTGCAAGCAGCCAGAAAGAAACAATTTAAATATCATGGATTCACAGTCAGGATTATGCAGCTGCTTGCAGCTTCTACATTAAAAGATCATAGGGCGTGGAATATGATATTCTGTAAGGCAAAGGAGCTTGGATTACAACCAAGGATCAATTACCCAGTGAAAATGAGCATAATCTTTCAGGGGAGGAGATGAAAATTTAACAAAATGAGGGACTTCCAAATCTTCCTGATGAAAAGACCAGAGATCAACAGAAAATTTGATCTTCAAATACAAGACTCAAGAGAGATATAAAAAGGTAAATGGGACAGGAAAAAAAAAAAAAACAAAAACATGTTATTAATAAGGGCAAATTGTCTACATCCCTACAAGGGAAGATGACACTTGTAACTCTTGAAAACTGAGTTGTTATTACACCATTTTAAAGGGGGTATATATATAGACAGAGGGGGTGGGTATAAGTTGACTTTGGTGTAATGATAAAAAAAATCTAATTAAGTGGGTTATGTGGGTCTAATTAAGGGATTATATTGGAAGGGAAGGAAAGGAGGAAGCAGACAAGGGTAAATTACATTACAGGAAAAGGCACAAAAGCCTATTACAATAGAGGGAAAGGAAGGGAGATGAGCATTGTTTGAACCTTACTCTCATCAGATTTGGCTCAAGGAGGGCATAGCATAACCAATTAGGTATAGAAATCTAATTTACTCTATAGGTAGTAGGAGGGAAAAGGGGAAAGAAAATGGAGGGAGGGGGTAGAAGGAAGGAAAGAAGTAGTAAGGGTAAAGAGGAAGGGGGGATGATAGAAGGGAAGTGGTGGTCAAAAGCAAAACAGTAAGTGAGGAGGGAAAGAGAGAAAGGAGAAAGAAAAGCATAAACTGGGGGAAATAGGATGCAGAGAAAGACACAGATAGTAATCATAACTACGAATGTAAACAGGATGAACTCTCCCATAAAATGGAAGTGGATAGCAGAATAGATTAAAAAGCACAATCCTACAATATGTGTTGTTTACAAGAAACACATTTGAAACAAAGGGACACACACAGGGTAAAGGTAAAAGGCTAGAGTACAATATATTATGCTTCAGCTGAAGCAAAAAAAGCAGGAGTAGCAATCCTGATCTCAGACAAAGCAAAAGCAAAAATAGATCTAATTAAAAGAGATAAGGAAGGAAACTACATCCTGCTAAAAGGCACCATAGACAATGAAGAAATATCATTACTAAACATATATGCACCAAGTGGTATGGCATCCAGATTCTTAGAGGAGACGTTCAGGGTTACAGAAGAAATAGACAGCAAAAATATACTAGTGGGAGACCTCAACCTGCCCCTCTCTGAGCTAAATAAATCTAACCACAAAATAAACAAGAAAGAAGTTAAGGAGATGAATAGAATTTTAGAAAAGTTAGATGTGGTAGACTTCTGGAGAAAATTGAATGCTGAGAGAAAGGAATATACTTTTTTCTCAGCAGTACATGGCACATACAAATATTGACCATGTACTAGGGCATAAAAACCTCACAATCCATGCAGAAAGGAAGAAATATTAAATGCATCCTTTTCAGATCATGATGCAATAAAAATTACAAGTAACAAGGGGCCATGGAAAGATAGACTAAAAATTAATTGGAAACTAAATAATCTAATCCTAAAGAATGAATGGGTCAAACAACAAATCATAGAAACAATCAGTAGCTTCATTCAAGAGAATGACAATAATGAGACAACATATCAAAACTTATGGGATGCAGTGAAAGCAGTTCTTAGGGGAAGTTTTATATCTCTAAATGCTTACATGAATAAAATACAGAAAGAGGAGATCAATGAATTGGGCATACAACTAAAAAAACTAGAAAAAGAACAAATTAAAAATCTTCAATTAGACACCAAATTAGAAATACTGAAAACCAAAGGAGAGATTAATAAAATTGAAATTAAGAAAACTATTGAACTAATAAATAAAACTAAAAGCTGGTTTTATGAAAACACCAAAAAAATAGATAAACTTTTGGTTAATTTAATTTAAAAAAAAAAAGAAAGAAGAAAACCAAATTACCAGTATCAAAAATGAAAAGGGTGAATCCACCACCAATGAAGATGAAATTAAAACAATAATTGGGAACTATTTTGCCCAACTATATGCCAATAAATTGACAATCTTAGTGAAAAGGATGAATATTTACAAAAATATAAATTGCCCAGACTAACAGAAGAGGAATTAAAATACTTAATCCCATTCCAAAAAAAGAAATTGAACAAGCCATCAATGAACTCCCTAGGAAAAAAATCTCCGGGGCCAGATGTATTTACAAGTGAATTCTATCAAACATTTAAAGAACACTTAATTCCAATACTATATAGACTATTTGGAGAAATAGGCAAAGTGCTCATGCCTAAACCAGGAAAA